CCAGTAAACCGCGCCGCGCCCCCCCCCCCCCCCCCCCCCCCCCAGTGGGATGGGGGAGAAAATTGGGAAAAGAAGTAAAACTCAGGGGTTGAGATAAGAACGGTTTAATAGAAGAGAAAAGAAGAAACTAATAATGATAACACTATTAAAATGACAACAGCAATAATAAAAGGATTGGAATATACAAAACAAGTGATGCACAGTGCAATTGCTCACCACCCGCCAGCTGACGCCCAGTCAGTTCCAGAGTGGCGATCCCCGCCCCCCGCCCCCATTCCCCCCAGTTTATATACTAGAAGTGACGTTACATGGTATGGAATACCCCGTTGGCCAGTTTGGGTCAGCTGTCCTGGCTGTGTCCCCTCCCAACTTCTTGTGCCCCTCCAACCTTCTTGCTGGCTGGGCATGAGAAGCTGAAAAAGCCTTGACTTAGTGTAAATGCTGCTTAGCAACAACTGAAAACATCAGTGGGTTATCAACATCTTTCTCATACTGAACCCAAACCATAACACCATACCAGCTACTAGAAAGAAAAGTAACTCTATCCCAGCTGAAACCAGGACAAGGAAGAGCAGAAATAGAGAAGATCGGAGAATAAGAAGTAAAAAGTTGATACTTTACCATATGTGTTAGAAACAACCTGGTGTGTGATAACTTTTCTACATGATTGCCCAAAATATTAAATGTCTATTGACAGCATTGGATTAGAAACAGAAATTCTTGAATGCTTCTTCATGGGAAGACTTTGCTAATGTGGTAGAGGGATCAAGGACCATTGGACTTGGTCTCAGTCTTAACCAGATAACTCTATAAATCTGTCTTCAATGAGTTGTATTTTTTCCCAAAGCAATTAAAAGGTTTCCTCAAGCAGATGCAATGTTGTTCCTAGGATTATAATTCTTATGCACACGTAAAGCTAATGGAAATATGTATAATTGAAGGAGCCGTTTTCTCTCGTAGTTTTACAATTGGTGTCCCTGTAGCTTCGAAGCTATTAATAATGTGGAATGTGCCAGGAGACCCCCACCCTACTAAGTTACCGGGTGACGTACAAACACCTTTCCTACCTCGTCTCCCAGATATTTTGTTTTTTGAATCCTGAGTTTGTTTTCCCTTCCCCTTCCTGTCAAGTGCTATTTAAAGTTGATATCTCAGAAAGGCCAGTTAGTTAAATACAGTGTGAACGCAGTGGCTTGGGAGCTTATTCTCCTTTGATTCCCTACTGCCTAAGATAGTCTCAGAATGGCTGTAAGGATGGTGTAGAAAACTTCTTGTTTTAATCTAAGAGAGGGGAGCGCTTACCTCAGAGGAATTTGTAGGCCAGTTTTATTCTCTCAGTTTGATGTATATCTGAATACAGCTTCATGAAACTTGGGCTGCCTTGTGTTTGTGATGGATGAAAGAATAAATTCTCTGGAACTGTGTGTTCTGTAATGTTTTGGATGTGACTTTTTGGTGTTATCTAATTTGAGGGTTTTGGCTGAAAGAACACTTGAATATACTGCATGCTGAATGGGAGGCTTGGTTTCATTCACCCTCTCTTCCCCCCTGCTCAAAATCAGAAAGGCTCTTATAAAATTCAACTGAGGTGTGGTACAAGTCAACATGCCCAATCCCATAAGTATATAAGTTGTCAGGAATATTAACATGGAGAGAAGAAAAATACAGGCAGATCGTAAAAGCAACCATGCCTGATTTTTGTTTTGGTAATATTAATTTTTATTGTTGAGGGAAGGGTGGGATGGGACTTTCATTACCTATTATATCAGCTGCTTTATTCCCTAGAACAATTTCAAGTAGAGCATGCAATAGCAGGTCTTCTATTCATATTTTATTTTAAAAAGAGAGATTTATTGTTTTTATAATTGTGTAGCAATGTAAGCATATCAGTATGGATCAGGTAAAGACAAGAATTAGAAGACTAAAAGGCAGATTGCTCTCTAAATCAGTACGTCACTGTGACTTTTTCCAGATAGTAAGTTGTGGAAAATCAAGCCCCAGCAATCTAAACAAAATCTAGATACAGGTTTTCAGTCTTTGCAACTTCGATTAACACTTTGGGGGAACATACCTTTTTTCTACATTTTCCTGAACATGGGAATGCAGTCTTAGTCTTCCTGTCACCAGAGACTAATTAAAACTCCGCATATTTATACAGTAAGACCAGATGCACAAACCCCTTTTTATTTTATATCTTCTGGGGCATGCCAGTAAACACTCATCTAAGTATACAAAAGATTTCTATAGAAAATATTTCTGACTGTATTCTTTCTTTTGCCTACTACCCCAAAGAGCCACATGGCTTTAGAAAAAACAAACTTCCAAAAGCGATGATTCCCTGCTTGCACTTTCTTCTCTTGCAAATCTCTGAGGGTCTCAGTCTGTCTGTAGGGACTTAAGTTGTATACCATGCTCAGGGATGTCCATTTCAAATGTGACCTTCCCCACATAAACAAATTCTTGTCAAGAAAATCCTTGTTTAGAAAATATATCTAAAATATTTTCAGGTGATGTCAAGCAAGCATGGGCTGGAGGATAGGATTTTAAATCACCCAGATACTGATAAATTGGTAATTTAGAAAAGAGGCTGCAATTAAATAAGGATATCTATGGAGTTATATTTACAGGTGGAAAGAATTCTCTATACCAGTTAAGGCTGGACAACTTCTGGCGAAGCAGAAGTCCTGCATTAGAGGACTGAGGGAGAAGAGTAAAAGAAAATCATGGACAGAGCATAAGTTAACAGGATTTTACTGTGAAGAAGGTAAATACTGTCTTGGTGTATAGTAATGGGAACATAATCTATAAAATGTGAAGTAATCATTTAGTTAATTTCTGGTAAGGCTTCAGCTGAAGTACTTTGTCCACCTTTGGGCACTGAATTTTGTAGAAGATACAGTCTCATTGAAAATATTCCTGAAGAGACTAACAAAGTGTGAAGAAACTGGAGTTGTTTGAACCGACTTACAGAACAGACTAAGGTGGGTGGTGGTGATAATAGCATCCGAGTAAGTGAAAAAAAGAGACTGAACTGTTCTGCATAGTCAATGTAAATAGTACTGGAAGAAACAAGCTTGAACTGGAGCAAAGAGATTTAGTCTTTAGGGAAGTTTTCTGAATATCAAGGTACTTGGACGCAAAATTGTCTGGGGAAGTTGTGGAATCTCCAACACTGAAGGTTTTTCAGATATGGTTAGCTAAATGTATGTTAGGGGTAGTTTATATATAGTTAAATATGCCCAAGATACATACCACGTGTTCTTTTGGAGCTCCTGCTCTACTACCTTTCTATAATTGCCTTTCAGCTCTGCAGTGCTTCAATCGACTGCTGGTGTTTGCCAAAATCCCATAGAAATATTGTACCAACGTAGAGAGGAAAAGATACATGAAAGGTAATAAGGTGAACATCAACATAGAGCTAGCAGGTTGCTAAATATGCAGAGTT